TGTGGTCAGGTACGGCCTTCCCCATGAAAACAACAGGGGGGGTTGTGAAGACAGACGTTAACACGGAGGTGTTAGTTAGCTGCTTTGTGTTGGTATGTTAAACACACTGAGGTCCAGAGAAAGCTGCTGCAGGAGCTGTGTGTGTGTGTGAGTAAGTGAGGGGGAGGGGTTGATGGGCCTCCTCTGTTATGTCAGCACGGTGCTCTCCTCTCTGATCCTCAATCAAGTGTTTTGTTTCTCTCTCGTTTGCTTCCTTCAGGGCACAGCCGTCTGGTTCGTCACTCTTCCCTCTGATGAACGAACCCCCCGGACGTCAGGTGGAAGATGGACGTGTCTTCCACTGTGTAGCTTCATCCTGTGAATCAGGGGTAGGATCCGTCGCTGCCACATGACCAGCTCATACCCGGTGCTCGACATGAAGCCCGTCAGCTATCAGAGCTTGCCGTCATCAGTGAGCGGGGGACACCAGGATCTGGCCCTGGATCGCGTGTTGAGCGCCCCCAAGGTGATGTATTGCGAGAAGTGCGGGTTCGCCTCCATGGACGTCGCCGTGTTCAAGAAGCACATGGTCGAGCACATGACAACAAGGTTTTACTGCTTCTACTGCAACGACGTCTCCTTCAGCGAGGCAGAGTTAAAAGTGCACCTGAAGCAGCACACGTCAAAGTATCCGTTCACGTGTCCTCACTGCGGACAGGGCTACATGCGGAGGCTGTGTCTTGTGAAGCACATTGAGCGTCTTCACAGTAAAAGCATCAGTCAAGGACCAGCAAAGCCCGGCATGACTTTAATTTCTCCCGTGCCTGTCTCCAGTGCCTTATCAAGCGTGTCCTCTGCTGATCCATCACCACCTAGGCCAACTGTTAAGGTGACAGTACCTGCCCTGAGTGCACCTGTTATCAGACTGGATAGAGATGAACAGAGAGGGAAAACACTGGACACTATTATATCGAATGCCGCTAATGGAAATACAGAACTTTTGTCTCCTTTGAATGGACTCATACAGCACAACAGGGCTCTAACTGTTTCTCTTCCGGAGGAGGTAACAATCCCTGCAGGCTGCTTGGTCGAACTTGTTGAGGTAAAAACTGTTAATGGGACAAAAGAGCTAAAACTGAGGCTCGTCTCTCAACAAGAAAACGAGTCTGTGATCAAAGATACAAGAACCACAGTTTGTCAGAGCACCACACTGGGAAAGCCTTTAACATCCACATTGAATCATCAGTCTCCCACAATGAAGACGGCAAGCATGGGGATGTGCACAGTAAACAGGAAGCAGTGTGAAACAAAGACGGTGAATGTGGAGCGTCCTGCTGTTGTCCCTGTCAGTATTTCCAAAAACCTCCTGAATCAATCGAGCAAAGAAAAGAGTGGATTCAAAAGAAAGTCACAAGAAATAATCAACCTGGAGTGTAACACAGTCATTCCAAATAAGATTCCCAAAACTATCCTCAGTCCTGTTAGAGAAGGGAATAGTGGGATGAGAGTTGCACAAAGAGAACCTCTAAATGCAGCTTCTCCCACGGTTATCTTGCCACGGCTTACCAACAGGTTGACTAGCACCCTGCATCCAGACAGCAAGGCGACAAGTGTTTCCCAGAGAGCAGCGGAGGAGAGGATGAATTTAATTCCAGAGCCTTCTAAGAGCATCCCAGCCCAGAGAGCAAGTGACACTAAAAGCCTCCCTCGAAATGGGTCGGTGGCTGTGAAGCTGGAACCAGGAGAGATCCACCTCAGGAACAACACTGCCACGAAGATAAAGAAAGAGGGGGTGGGCTTGAACCAGCAACATGTGACATCGGGGAGCGTTCCTTTGCCCGCAGCGTCCAAAGTGAAACCTCCAGCAATTTTATCATGTAAGGATAATGTTGTCCCAAATCAGTCTTTTCCAGCACACAGGACTCTAACTGAGCGCTCACAGGTCAAAACCTCTGTGCTTTCTAATCATACAAAGTCTAAGATCTCAGCTTGGACCCAGGAAGTGAGATCCCGTGAGAGAGCAGGAGAAGGAGAAGTGCCAGAACCTGAGAGCTTTCCAATAATTTCCTCTGTGTTTTCGTTAAGTCAACAACCAGGGGAGGTACAGGGCTCCATTCAGCCGCTGGTGATGGCTCTGCGTGGCATTGTGATGGATAAAAGCAACAGTTCTGGCAGTTCACATCCTCAAGGTCGCATCAAGATAATAAACGGATCAGAGCAGGTGAGGGAAGCGCCGACGTTGGGGTTCCGTGCTCAGGTGGATGTAAAGGATGGACCTGTCATCCTTGACCCTTTACCTACGGAGCGGTGTATTGACTCTGTGAAAGTAGAGGGGCATAAAGGCGTTCAGCATCCCCCGGCACTGACCAACCTCCACATTGAAGTCAAGGAGGAAAAGAATATTCCTACTCCTACAGACACGCTTACTTCAAAATCCGTGACGGATCAGGGATCTGTTTCTGAAATTCCAACATATGTAGACGCATCCGTGGGTACAAAAACTCTGCAGCAGGTGGACAAGACCGAGCATGACATCTCGAAGTTCCTCACTGTCTCTCTGAGGAGGGTACAAGTAGGAGTGTGGAAGAAAAACAGGAAAGGACTGAAACTAAGAATATCCAAATATAAGACTCATCTACCTGTAAGCAGTGTTGCTGACTGTGCAGTTATTTACCCGATGCCGCTGAAGGAGGACCAACTGGTGAAGAGACCGGGCCCCAACCAGCCCGTGGTGGTGCTCAACCACCCGAAGCCCCGGGCCCCCGTTCAGGGACTGAGGGCGGACACTATCGCCAACACAGGAGCTTCTGAGGTGGTTCCGAAATGCCAAATCTTAAAAATGAGGCTGAGCAAAGTGGTGGGGCAGAAATACGAGGTGATGGGGTGCACTGTCCGAGTCTTTCCATGAGTTTAGCTGACAAAGTTTCAAGAAGTGTACATTTATAAAGAAAAGACTAGTATTACGATGGGAAAACACTGATTTAAATTCATGATGTTATATGTTTGTCTGTATAGGCATGGGATATGGATTGTTGAAGTGCAATGCAGCTGTGACAGCTTTGGGGTGTTGGGACCATCTGCTGTAGTAGATTCAGTCAGTAATACACAGATGTTAAGAACTGTCTAAGACGGTTGAGAAAACAGTAGATCTGCCAGAGTCGAGGCATAAGCGCATGCTGTTTATTTAAAATATCTTAATTTATTTTTTTAGTTGGGTAGGTAATGTCTCGTGGTTCTTGCGGCCCCTTTAAGATGCGACTTGAAGTAGTGGTACATGCAGCACACCTTAGACGAGTCTTTCAGAAAATAGTGCCATATACAGTATAATCAAAGCCATGAGTTTTGACATTTTTAATGATGAAAAAAAAATCAGTGGGTGACAAAAGGGATTATCAAGTCTTTGTGAAATCATGTGGGGCAAAGTAATACGCAGCTAACAAAATTATACATCGATTAAGGTTTTATTCAAGTATTAATTCCTCTTTTTCTGTTTTTAGTTTTCACATTAACCGAGCAGTACAAAAGGAAAACAGAATCCCTTTACTGTCGTCGTGAATCAACACTACATATACAAACAGAGCACTTCACAGGCCTGTAAAATGGCCCCATTTCTGCAATTGCGTCAGTAGCATTCAAATATTCCACATTTCTGTACTAATAATTTTGTAACTGGTCAGCAACTGGGTCACTACATTTCATTCAAAGTTGCCTAAAAAATGTGGTTGTCCTTGAAATGGCGGTCAGTGTTTTTTAATGTGCAGCTCTCTGCATATTTGTATACATGCCGGGCTGGTTTCTTGTTTGGTGGTGGGTTCAGGCACTCTTTGCAAACTTGTATTTGGCAAGTGCAACATGAGCATGTCATATTTTTCAAACAGCCATCAAGTCCATTTCATGCAAAGTGCCCTGTTTTCCAGTACTTTGCTGATCATTCTTGATGACAAAACTGAATGTTTTTGACTTTCTCAGAGCCAGAGTCCTTGAATGCACCGTTTCTGTGAGGCCGTAGCCTAAAAGTCACTAATACACGTCCCATCAGCCCTCACCTCAAAGCTACAGCCCCAGAATGTATGAACGCAAATTGTGTGACATCTGATAGAAGCCGACTTTTCTGTGACCCACTCGCTAACTTCTGGTCATAGTCTGCCTCAGCTGTGTGTGTTTCCCCGGCTGAAGACTTCACCCATGTGCAGTGAGAGCACAGGTCGTGTTTGTAAGAGTTTTGCGAAGGCAGCAGACACTGGCTTTAAAAAAAAAAAAAAAACTGGCCATCAGGACATGAAGAGGATTTCAACAAATACGATAAAGAGTGTTTCAGAAACAACCCCGCCTTTTTAAGGGAAAAAGTAAAAGTCCTAAAGAATCAATGTAAATGTTTATTTTAATGTTCAGTCTCATGTTAACCTGCACTTACTGATACTTATATACTTTTTTTAACATTTGCTGTGTGTGTTTTAATGAATCAGAATGTGTAATTATATCATAGTTTTGATTATTTGAGCTACTGCCCAAGAAATAAGTGTTAATTCCATGAAACCCGCTTGGTTCATCGTTTCTCACTCTGCAGTACAATTTGCTTGTAGACGTCAGTCAGAAAAAAACTGAGGAGGAGAAACAATGATTACAAGTGGAGGACACTAAACTTCCTTATGACTAAAGGTATATTTAATTCTAGTGCCGCGTAGATGCTCAGTGACTGTGGTGATTCTTGGGGCGCTCAGAACCTTTTTAGAATCTGTTGTCCAAAAACATCAAGAAGGCTGTTGGGATGTTCTGTCCTGATGCTCTGCAGATCTGCTTCTCTTCTTCACGGCAGCATCACTACACCTGTGTGTTCCTGTTCATACTGTAGTCATGATCTATGAGGTGCTAGACCTTCGATTGAATCTATTGGTTTTGGTCGCCCACAGATTTTATTGTGTATATACCTATGAATATAAAACGTGATGACATGTTAATTGCTCAGTAGGGAACAGCTAACGTTCCACTGATTCTGTTGCAACGGCAGTGATGCTGTGCTTTATATTTCTCACATGTCAGCATGTGAAGCTGCCTCAGTCTCTGTTATTATATATAATGATTTTAAAGGTCCGTCTTTCTTTCTTTTTTTTTTGTCCTCATTTTTGTGGACATTTCCTCATGTTCCAGTTCAAGCAGTTTTTGGTTTTACTACATTCACTGTGTTTATCATCAGTGTGTTCTCGTGTTTTTATATATAAAAAAAAACAATTGTGTAACTTCTCCTTTTTCTATTAAAACTAAGTAAATATGATTTAAACTTTAAGGTGTTTGTGATCATGATGAAACGTGTCATTGTTTTCAAACAGGTTCTTAATGCATCAAGAGAAGCTCAGACCCACTAGTTTGACCAACAGCTCCTCCACACGATTGAGCCAAATAATAAAAACACAGGACACCCCTGATCTCATTACATTCATTTATTGACCTTAACATATACTTGAGAAATTTGAATACACTGTCCTAACCGGCTCATAATAAACTACAGTGTATATGTGACTGGATGAGATTCAGCACATCATCTCTGCCATGATGACGTATTACTGTAGGAGCTGGTCGATGTCCCTCCTCGTCACCGAATACGTCAGCACGCAGTTCTCTGGGTATTTACTTCCTGGTGTGTTTCTGCCACTAATGAGTACTATTGGGAAGATGGTGTGAAACTTGATGATGTCTGCCACAGAGTCGAACATCTGAGGACCAAACAAAGATGTCAGCTCCAGCACATATACAGTGTGTGAGATTAGTGCTTGTTGAATCTGCCTCACGAGGTTTTTTTTCCCACTCACATCATTTAATCGTTGTCCCGTTCCCAGAACGAACTTGCTGGTGCTCTCAATGAACCGAATCTTTACATTGTAAACCTTCTTCTCATGATACACAGACAACACCAAAGGTTCGCTGTCGAGGTTGATGGAACAGTCTCGTACCAGAAATGCACCGTCCTGAAGTCCGGAGTTACAACAAGAAGAAAGCTTTGTGTTATGTCTGACATTTTGGTTTCTACACAGCAGCTGATTCCTGAAAGTTAGTCTGTGTTCCTGATTTGTTTCTCACACAAAAACCTATGAAACCATGACCTTCCATCTGAACCTTTTCTAAGGGTTAATCAAACAAGCTATGACTTGTTAATTATTAAGCTTTGCAGACTGTGGTTGGCAGAAACAGATTTAAAAGTGATAATGATCTCAGGGACGCTGAGAGGAAGCTGATATTACACTCTAATATAAGATGCATAATCTTTGCATGGATTTGGATTGCCAATAGAATCGTTCTTTACACAACAACAGAACTTCGGGTAGTTAAACAAATCTGATGTTCGATTTTGAGGCATCAAATCCACTTTAACCAACTATTCAGATTTGTGATCCTTTCAGTTCTATCGTTATCGACATTGTGTTCTACACTTCTGAGTCAGAGAGGCTGCACAGAAAATACCCTGAAATGAATTAACATTTTATTCTATTCATTTTGATTATACAAATAGTAAAGGTTAGTAGTAGAGTAGAGGTTGCTGCAGCTCCCTGAGCATTTCTACTCCCAGCGTCTCCTTATCCAACTCTCACCAAGAAAGACAATATGTGTATTTACCAAAATGTCAAACTGTTTGAAGACATTCCAATAATGTTTAGTGAATCCCGTACCTTGTTCACCAGATGTAAAGCATGCTCCGCGTCTGCTCGATTACAGGCCCCGACGTACCAGTCCTCACAACATGCCTGCCAGCAGAATAGAGTTCATCAAAATTACTTTCTCCATTATTTCATTGTTTTTAAAATCAAACTCGCACTTTTACCTGTTGAGGTTTTTCCTTTGCAACAAAGTCGTGTTGGTCAAAGTCTTCTTTAGTTTGAGGCCACTCATGGTGATAACGTCCCGACGGCCCCCTTTCTTTAAGCAGATGTTAATGAGGACTTATTTAATCAATCTGTGCGTGATGACACTGGTGAGCTGTAACATTACTCACCCAGATTCTGATGTGACCTAAAGAAAGGAGAAAAGCAAAGTGAAAAAAAACAAAGAAAATAAAAACAGTTCTGAAACATCAAGGACAAAAAATGAAAAGTAATAACATGAATAAATAAATAAATAAATTTAAAAATACAGTTTGCAACAGAAATGACTATTTCTGTATTTTTAGTCTACACATATTTATTTACTTATTTATACTTAATATGTAAGTTTTATGTTCTTCACACTAAAAAGTTAATTAAAATCTTACCTTATTTCTATTTCATGACTTTCCAGATCCAAAGAATAACTGTGGTTGTTGGGGGGGCCTGAAACAGTTGCTGGACTCTGTAGACCTAAAATCCCATAATTACACAACTGCCAATATGTTTTTCACCAAAATGATATCCTCTATTACTTTACCTCTTACCTCCTGAACTCAACATTGCCTGTTAAAGTAATGAAAAGACAGATCGTTTCAAATAATATGACAAGATGGTTAAGTGATGTTGTATAGCCAGATTACAAGTTTTATAATGAAGAATAAAAAGTTAGTGTTGATCAACTACATTATTTCACAAGGACTTGAAATATAAATGGAATAAACAGAATGATTTATAAAGGTCGCAGAAACAAAAGTGAGAAACAGAATTGACAGCAAAAGGACAAAAAAAACATTTCACTAAAATTGTGTTTGAAATTAAAGCTGCATTTATGACTACTTACTTTTTTAGTCGTCTTCTGTTGCCTGCTGAAATGAAACAAGTAAAAATAAAATCACAATGTGCTTTAATCCAGAAAACCTCTGTGCTTTTCTGTGATTACGTCTCTGACCAGCAGATGGTGCGACAGCTGCACAGTGTGAACTGAGCCGGCCTCCTCTCACCTCTCTACCATCCACATGTGGGACAGGGCCCCTAGGGCTGTGGTGAGCGTCAGGGGAATAAAACAACCACAGTGGAGACGTTCACCAGTAAAACTAAAGTCTCTCTGCGAGTTCTACCTCACATTAGTCTCAGTGGGATCATGAAACAGGACTCACCCTCTCCTGCAGGGTTGAGTCCATCCAGGACGGTGGTTTTCTAACTGCAGGGAGGAAGGTGGAAGTGATGGAGAACTCCTGGAAAAGCCAGACTTTAACTGTAAGTCTGTTTATAATCCACCTCTGAATATCTTGATAGTATTGAACAGTAAATTACCTCTGTGAGTGCTGAGGAAGGAAAAAGAGAGAAAACCATGAATGCAGAAAACAAACAGTCAATATGACCCTGTTGTACGGAGCACGTGTGTTTACCTGGTGTACTGGAGGCACAGGTGTGAATCTCTTATCTGTAGAAACAACATGTTAAATTAATATCTGGGATGTGACTGTGATATGGGTTTTTCCTATTTGTTGCTGTTACCTAATATGGTTTGTCTTCTGCCAGGCTTCAGATCTCTATTAACAGCAGGTCCTGTGATGCAAAAACACAATGCAGAACACGTAATATTTATATTTTGGATTCACAGACGCATCATCGACATTAGAAGTGTTCAGGGTAGAGTTTGTTAAAAAACGGACTTAAAGAATTAAATGCTTCAAAATCTACCGGGGTCAGGTGACAAAATGTATTTCTTTGTGGTATAGACACTCGTTTTTATTCAGTATTATAAAGTGAATATAAAGTTCTTATAAAGTATAATAAAGAATGTCTCTGTTCACCTGACAAATATTGAGAAGAGAATTAATCAGAG